CTGTCCTTACAGACACTTGGACATGTCTCTGTCCATAGAGACACCTGGATATGTCTCTGTCCGTCCATAGAGACACTTGGACATGTTTCTGGTCCATCATAGAGACACTTGGACATGTCTCTGTCCTTACAGACACTTGGACATGTCTCTGTCCATCACTTCCTGTTTTATAATAAAACAAAGCAAAGATCAAAGCTCTTGTTGACATAATAAAAAATTTAACAATGAATTCTGAGGCTGTTTTTATTCGTTTTATTAGGTAATATTTATTTATTTGTATTATTAGTGAAATAGTGTTTTAGCTTGTTTTTTTGTTTATTGTTAGCAAAATATCTCCTGACTCACTGAACGTGTCCAGATTATAATTATTGGATGTTTATCTGTTTATCTGTAAAGTTGATTCAAGATGGCCGCCACAACAAAAGCTGTCAGAAACAGCAGATAAAGAAAAAAGTCACTGATGATGAAGAAACTAAGAAACTAACATTCAGTTCTGGTTTCTACCGAAGTGAAAAGAAAAGAAAAGAAAAGAAAAGAAAAGAAAAGAAAAGAAAAGAAAAGAAAAGGAAAGAAAAGAAACAGCAGATATGAGCTCAGAGGAATGTTTCCTAAAGATCACAGAGATGCTGAAGTTTCCAAATGAAACATTGAAATAAATAAAAATAAAAACATTAATATCAGTCTGTAAATGTTTCTGCTGCTCGACCAGCTTCTGTCCTTCATGTCTTCTAAAGAGGCTCCGCCCAGCAGCAGGTAAGCTGTTTGTGGTGGGATTGTTGGGGGACATATGGTGGCAGAATAATCTGAGGACTTCAGAGAATCAGTTTAAAGCTGAAACAGACGAACAGATGCCCTGAAGCTGAAGGAGAAACAATCTGGAGCTGAACAGAGCTCTGCTGAGAGAGTTTCACTTGTTGGAACAAAAAACCAGGAAGAACTTCAGCTCTTCATGTCCTCAGGGTCTCCTTCAGGGTCTCCTTCAGGGTCTATTCAGGGTCTCTGTCCAGTTGGACGTCCAGAGCAGAGACGTCTGAAACACTGTTAGATTGTATTAAACTAACATTCAAGTGTCTGTCTCTCAGTCCTCCTCAGTCCTCCTCAGGCCTCCTCAGTCCTCCTCAGGCCTCCTCAGTCCTCCTCAGTCCTCCTCAGTCCTCTTCAGGTGGACTCCAGCTCCTCATGGTTTCATCATGGAGGCAGGACTCTGTGAGCTTCTCACTCTGAGCACATCCGACAGGTGTTTAAAGACAGCAGATCTGTGATGAAATGTGCAGAAAGCAGCTGTCAGAACCAGGACCAGCAGGACCAGCAGGAGCTGATGGAGTCCCAGCAGGACCTCCACCCTGGGCCTGAAGCCTGAGACCAGTCCTGCTCTCAGTAATGAGCTGCAGATTAACGCTTTTAATCTGCAGAAATTTAGTTTCAGACGACAGAGAGGAAATGTTTGGGTGAAGCAGAAACATGTCAGCTCTTTTATCACCGAGACTCCTCATGAGTTTAAATAATAATCATATCATTATTGTTAGAGTTACATGATATTGATTTTTTTTTTTGATATTCAATATGTTGATATTTTTCAACACTTAATTTCTTATTCCAATATTAACTGATATTACAAACCAACAACACATATCTGCTGTCAGGGACATGATGCCTGCTTGTCTGTACAAAATAAAACCATTTAACTGAAGTTATAGAAAAAGTGCCATGATATTTATTTTTAACATTTTGTCTCCAACAGTAGTTTGGATCAGGCTCTCCCTGACATAATCCAGTTTGATGATGTCATC